TCCCCTGCAGCATTCCGACACTCCAGGCCATTTCCTCCCTCAGAGCTGCATTTTCAGCCCCAAACCATCCCAGCTCAGGGGAGCTGGAGCTCCTGGCCACCTCCCAGACCCTCACCAGCCTTGCTGGGCACTCTGACCACAGGAAAAGGGCTCTTTGCCCTTGGATTCAAACTCCCCATCCCAAATCTACCCCAGAGCAGCCATTCCCTCCCCTCCCCACTGCAAGGTCTCCCTCTCCTCAGCCTAAGGACAGACATTCCAAGCACAGAGCTGCCGGGATTTGGCCTTGCTCAGGCCCCAGCTCCAAAGCTGGCTGTGAGGATGTCCCCCAGGACAGGCACGAGGAGCCAAGGCTTGGGATGGTCCCAAATCCCTGCCAGGGGCTGCCACAGCCTCATCCCACTGCTAACGATCTCCTGATGGTAATTAAATGAGGGAGGAGGACACCACTAGCACAGCATGGGCTGACAGAGGTCCAGAGGGGCTGGAGGAGGAGATGAGAGTGGGTCCATTCCAGGGGGAACATGAGGACAGTGCCATTTGTCACAGCAAGGAGGGGACGGGATGGGTCCCGCCAGTGACAGGAAGGGACAAGTGCCTGGTGTGGGGCTCAGTGAGGGAGCCCTGGCAGGGATTTGAGACCATCCTTGGCTCTGAGGGAGCTTCTCACCCCTGCGAGGTGCCAACACGCTGAGCAGACGGGCAGGATGGGTCCCCTCAGAGAGCCTCTGGATCAGCCCTTGTCTTCTCCCAGCCCCCATGCTGGGGCTCACGACCTCCTTCTCTGCTCTCTCTGGCTCCAAACCCAAGGAATTCCCTGTCCCTTTCCCACTGAGCCTCAGAACTCCATCGTGACACGGAGCAGAGAAGCCCCGGTGGCCTCGAGGACTTTGCTGGCCAAGTTTGGCAGCTGAAGGAAATGTCCTTTGGTGATGGAGAGGAGGAGGGAGCGTCGCACCCTCTGCCAGGGTGGGGATGCTGCGGCCCCACAGAAGCCCAGCCAGCAGCAGGTGCCTCCACAGCTGGGCAGGAACAGGAACAAGAAGAGGGAAGTGCAGCACGGAAGGGCTTTGGGGAAGTCAGAGCTGAGCTAATTCTGCAGAGGGAACAACTCCCCCAGACGAGTTCCCCGTCGCGCCCGGCCCGGGCAGCAGCCAGGGAGCGACTGCAAGTCACTGCAGGAAAAGCAGAGCCAGGAATTCTGATTGCTGCTGCACTCACTGCCCCTCAAACACAGATCCCAGAGCTGCAAAGCCCAGGGGCTTCAGCCCTGGCAGGTCAATGTCTGCACCTTTCACCTTCCCCGTGTCCCAGGGGCTGGGGGATCTTTGGGATGGATGGCAAATGGAAATGGTTCTTCAGGGAGGGAGAGACCAGGGAAAGGCAACCAAGGGCTTGCTTTAGCCAGCCCAGGAAATCTTGGACCTTTGCTGCTTCCTCCCACCATCAGCCTCACCCTCACACAGCACAATCAAGGATATTTTGGGTTCCCAGGCAGGGAGATCCAAGGTCCAGTCCTGCAGGTGTTCCCAGACACCTCCTGTCCCCTCCCATGCTGCTCACCCAAGGGATGCTACACCTTGGCCAAGGGAAAGGTCTCCAAATCCACTGGAGAGAAACTTGGGACAAGGGCTGGAGGGACAGGGCCCAGGGAACGGCTCCCACTGCCAGAGGGCAGGGCTGGATGGGATATTGGGAAGGAATTCCTTGCAGGGAGGGTGGGCAGGCCCTGGCACAGGGTGCCCAGAGCAGCTGGGGCAGCATCCAAGGCCAGGCTGGGCTGCTGGGAACGCCTGGGACAGTGGGAGGTGTCACTGCCGTGGCAGGGGTGGCACTGGGGTGGCTTTACAGTCCCTTTCCACCCAAATCTCTCCGGGATTCTGATTCCACACACTCCCAGCCTGATGTGTGTTGGATGGAGCCTGTCTCACTGGCTGCACTCCCAGCTTTCCCAGATGGGCTGGCTGTGGAGGGGACAGTCCCTCGCTGCCGTGAGCCCCCACCGGCGGCTCCAAGGGCATTTCCTGCATGCTGGGACACAGAAGCAACAGCAGCCCCGTGAGTTCCCAAAAATCCTTCTTTTCCTGGGCTGGATCCTGGTTTTGCAGGGACTGAGCACAGGACAAGGAACTGCAGGATCAGGCCAGGGGAAGGAGGTGAGGACCAGGAGATCCTGCCCAGAGTTCTCTGGACGCACAAGGCTCAAGCGCAAAGGGGGAAATGATGCTCGGAGCTTGCTTTGCCTGCCAAGCCCAACCCCTGGAGCTGCCCGAGTATGGGACAAACCCTGGGATGGGGAGAGCTCTCAGGCTGCTCTTGTGCAACTCCAGGAGTTGATTTTCTCCTGGCAAAGCACTGAGATGACCCAGACTGAGCCGCACGAGGCAGCTTGTAAACACCCCAGCCTCCCTGGCGGCTCCTTCCCGGAGAAGAGTCCAAGTTTGACGGAACATTTTCCACCGAGCCCAAAACAAGGATAATTATTATCACCAGTGAAGTTTCTGTGCAATAAAAACCAGCAGGGAAATGAGAGCAAGGTCACCACACTGACAATGGATCCTTTGCTGGAGCAGGCTCCCAGTCCAGCTGGCAGCGGGGCTGTGCCCAGCCCAGGACGGGATCCCAGAAGCCAGCGAGGGGCAGAGGCTCAGCCCCGTTATCTCCTCAGCACAGGCCTGGGTGGGCTCAGCAGGGCCGGCCTTGAGGGTGGGAGCCTCTGTTTGTTTTGCTCTCTTTAATCTGGGAATCAAAGTTTCCTCCTGAATGAAGCTATTTCCAGACATCAGAGCTGGCTGGAAGCTCCCAAAGAGCCAGAACCCCCTGAGCTCCCCGTGTTCCTTCTCCCACCTGGCTGGACAAGCTCCAGCCCCTGGGATTGTCCTCCAAAAACCTCTCCAGGCTGCAGAGGTGCCAGCCAGCCTCGGGACACTGCCAGCTCGGGGCTGCAGTGAGCGGAGGGGCTCAGGGCACAGAGCTTCCATCGTGTTCTCCGTGCTCGCCTCCATCCTGGGGACCACGGGGGAAAACAGAGCTCTTGTGATCCTGAATGTCACAAGGGGAAGTGAGTTTTCCTTATGCAAGCACAGCTACAGGAAGGGAGGGAGACAGACAGCAAATGAGGGAATCATGGAATGGGGTTGGGCTGGAAGGGACCTCAAAGCTCATCCCATCCCACCCCTGCCATGGCAGGGACAGCTCCCACCGTTCCATTGGGATCCAATCCCAATGTCCAGCCTGGCCTGGGACACTCCAGGGATCCAGGGGCAGCCCCAGCAAATCTGGGAATTGCAGCCCAGGCAGGAATTCCTTGCCAAGATCCCAGCCCAATCTCCCCTTTCCCAGTGGAAGCCATTCCCTGGCTCCTGTCCCTGCAGCCCTTGGCCCCAGTCCCTCTCCAGCTCTCCTGGAGCCCCTTTAGGCCCTGGAAGGTGCTGGAAGATCTCCCTGAAGCCTTCTCCAAAGCCCTGGGGACCTCCAGCCCCACAGCCTGGATCCCCCCTGGCTGCAGGAGCGGTGTCACGGGGTGACCACGGCCTGGCACGGTCCGGCCAGGCTGGACATTGCTCCCGTAGGATTAACGGCCCCTGACGAGACCTTGGAGATGCCAAGACCAAGGACCGAGCCTTGGTGGGGCCCCACACTTGCACAACCCACAAAATCCTCTCCCCCAGCCCATTCCCGAGGCCGTGGAGCTGCTCCACATCCCCCGTGTCTGTGCCAGGCCCCGCAGCCGGCGCTGGTTCCAATCAGGCCCCAAGAATCCCGAGCCGGCTCCTCCGACAGCGCCCGGCCTCCGGCATCTCGCTAAGAAAAGCAAAATAAACACCGTGGGGAAAATCCCAGCCAGTATTGCCGGGGTTGTTCATTCCTGCTCCCTGCCCACGCTCCCGTTTTAGGGCAGCCTCCAGGGCTGTTTCTCCACGGGAAAAGTTTTCCCAATCCTTTCCACGTTAATCCCAGCGCTGCCCTCGTAGGAAGGCGAGGGAGGCTCCTCTCCCGGCCCGCAGCTTTGGGCAGCAAGCCAGCAGAATTCCTGGGATTTGGGGGGCCAGGGAGCAGGGGGGACGCTCCCAGAGGCACCGCCAGGTCTGCGTGGAACAAAACCCCCAAAACTCCTTCCCTAAAGGAATTTCAGCCACATTCCTGCATTTTTGTGCTTGGCAAAGGCTCAAAAACATTTTGATTGTTTTAATCCCTTCTGGGGAAGGAGGAGGATCAGCAATTCCCCCTGGAGGCAGCACGGGGTTGGGGTCTGGACCCCCAAATCGGGAACCCTCCATCACAAACCGGGTGACAACGGAGGGGCCACCGCAGCCATCAGGGGACAAAGCACGAGGTGCAGCTGTGCCACGGCTTCCCAGGAGAGACAGAGCCGGGGTGCAGAGGGAGCTGGGGCCATCCTGGTCCCTGGGACCCCTGTCCAGAGGAGCTGGATGCTCTGGTGCCTCGTCCAGCGCGATTCCCTTGCAGGGCCAGGGCGGGATCCCTGTCCCACAGCACCTTCCTGGCCATGTCCCATCATCATCATCCCGGCCATGTCCCACCCGTGCCAGCATGTCCTTCCTGGAGCATCCCCAGGCCCTGCGATCCCCCGAGTCCTGCGGCGTCCTTCGGGGGTCACACGGGGCAGCCCAGCCTGGGGACACGGTGCCAGGGCACAGGGACCCTGTGCCACCCTTCCTGCTGCAGGGTGAGCCACACCCTGATCCCTGTGGCACGTCCCTAGGGTGTCCGTGGAAGCCGAGATGTCCTCCCTGCTCCAGCAGCCGTCCCAGGTGCCCAGGGAGCCCGCAGTGCCCGTCCTGGGCGAGCCGGTGACAGCCACGCCGGGCACCGGGGGGTTCCGTGTGCGACCCCGCTGCCCCTCCAGGGCTACCGGGGATGCCGTGACACCACCCTGGGACACACGAGGAGCCCGGGACGGCAATCCCGGGGCTCCCGGGGGGTTCAGGAGCCCACCCAGGCCCGCCCGTCCCCGCCGGGCCGCGCCCCTCACTCACCGCTCGTCGGGCTCGCGGCCCCGCTGCCGGCCGGGCTCCAGCGGCACCAGGGCCTGGCCCAGGAACCGGTCCATGCCCACGAGAGCCCGGTGCATCACGGTGAGCACCAGCCCCGGGCAGGCCCCGGGCTCGGGGGGCAGCTCGAAGGCACATTCCTCCCTCCACTCGGGGCTGCCGCCGCTCTTCTCGGCCACCGAGGTGCTGTACTTCTCGCGGCCCAGCTGGATCACGGTGTACGCGTCGCTGCCGCCCGCTTTGCCTTTGCCGCCGCCGCCCTTGCAGCGCAGCCCGCGGGCCCGCACCACCGTCACCTGGACGTGCGTGGGCAGCCAGGCCGGGCAGCCCTCGGCGGGCAGCGCGGCCGCCCGCAGCAGCGCCATGGCCGGGCCGGGCGGGGCAGGGCCGGGGAGAAGCGGCCGGGCCGGGCCGGGCCCCGCTCC